CATCACAATCAGTAACAATACCAAGCAAAAACAATTGTGGAGTAAATTTTACCCTCTTTCTAAAAATTCTCTGAATGTTCCACCATATCTTAATCCAAAAAGCTTTTATATTTTTACACGACCACCAAATATGATAATAAGTGGCATCCAGGCAGCCACACCTCCAACATTTAGGCTGTAAGTCAGGATACATGAAAGACATTTTTTGTGGATCAAGGTGCCATCTGTAAAACATTTTATAAAAATTCTCCCTTAAATTCTGGGCTTGTGTAAACTTAACATTTCTCACCCAGATAGTTTCCCAGGCATCCAGTAGAACTGGTTCACCAAAATTCTGCGCCCATTTAATCATACAGTCTTTAATTAATTCTGATTCTGAATCCAGTTCCACTAGCACCCCATAAATTCTCTTAATATGAGTTTGTCTTTGATCCTTTACTTGCTTAAAAAGATTTTCATCTTCTCTAAGCAGGCCTATATTACGGTCCATCTTCCATCTATCTACTAATTGTCTATATTGAAACCAAGAATAGGTAATATTTTCATGTGCTAGGTCTTCCAAAGATTTTAACTGCCAATTTTGACCATCCCATCTAAGTAATTGTATATAAGACACCGCATCCATTTTAACACCTCTCTTTATCCCCTCTATCTCATGCCAAGGTATAGCCCATAATGGTATTTTAAAATCACTTTTATAATATTTCCTCCAAACCCTAAGTAAAGAGATCCTTATAATATGAGATTTGAAGGCCCAGTCCACTTTTTTATTAAATATTAGATAGGCATGCCAACCAAAAAGTAAATCCCATCCCTCCAAGTGAAGTATCTCTGAGTTTGTTAAATTTACCCAATCACTAATTAATGTTAAGACCACAGCGTCATAATATAATTTCAGATTCGGTACCTTGAGTCCACCTCTCTCCCGGAAGTCCTGCATAATTTTAAACTTTACCCTTGTTTTTTCCCTGCCCAAATAAATTTATTAATGCCTTTCTGCCATTTGTTTAAATTAACCTCATTCTTTAAAATAGGTAACATTTGAAATAAAAAGAGAAATTTTGGCAGGACATTCATTTTAATCACTGCAATTCTTCCCATGAGAGATAGCTGTAAGTTCTCCCAATTTTTCAAGTCTTTTTGTACCCTGACCCACAACCTTTCATAGTTATTCTTAAACAATTTTACATTAGAAACAGATAAAATAACCCCCAGATATTTTATCTTATCAACAATTTCAAAACCAGTCAAATTAGCCAAAATCTGTTTATCACAAGTAGTCATATTTTTAGATAATATTTTAGTCTTATTATTATTAATTTTGAGACCCTAAACTAATCCATATTGATATATCAACTGTAATAACTTCACTACAGAATAAGTAGGTTGAGACAAAGTAACAACCAAGTCATCTGCAAAAGCTCTTAACTTATATTCTTTTTTGTTAACTTCTATGCCTCTTATTTCCTGCGACTCTCGGATTTTAATCAACAAAATTTCCAAGGTTAAAACAAACAGCAACGGTGACAAAGGACATCCCTGTCTAGTACCTTTTTCTATTATAAAAGCCTCTGACAAACCCCCATTAACAATAAGTTGTGCCGTTTGTTTTTGATATATAGCAGTAAGAGCTTGTAATATTTTTTCTCAAAAGTTCATCTCCTCAATTGCTCATAAAATGCCAATTCAGTTGATCAAAAGCTTTTTCAGCATCTAAAAATATCAGCCCTGCAGGGACTTGGTTGTTCTTATCTAAATATTCTAATATATTAATAATTTGTCTAACATTATTTTTCATGTACCTGCCAGTTATAAAACCCGATTGGTCCTTATGTATAAGCTGATGCACAACCGTCATAAGCCTATTAGCTAAAATTTTTGCAAAGATCTTATAGTCTACATTTAAAAGAGATATAGGTCTATAATTCTTTGGTAAAGTAAGATCTTGGTCCTCTTTTGGAATCAAGGATATGAAGGCACTGCGCCATGACGGAGGGATCTCTGAACCCTGCAATATGTTATTAAAAAGCTCACCTAAAGGTTGAATCATCTCTTCTACTAAAGTTTTATAATAAATAGGTGTCAAACCATCCGTACCTGGTGCTTTGCCTAATTTTAATTGCTTAATAACTGTCACAATTTCCTCATTAGTAATTGGACAATTAATTTCTTGCTTCTGATCTTCTGTCAATTTAGGAAAGTTAGCCTCCCTTAAATATTTATTTATATCTAAAATTTGTACATTAGTAGTCTTATATAATTTTTGATAATAATCTAAAAAAGATTTCTTAATCAATTCCTTCTGATACACTAATTTACCATTATAATTTATTTTATCTATTGTTCTCTGTCTCTGTTTCTTTCTTAATTGATAGGCCAACCATCTCCCTGGTTTATTGGCATTACAAAATGTATTTTGTTTCATAAACAAAAGATTAGTTGCAGATTGATCAGCCATCAACATGTTAAATTGTGTTCTTAAGAACTTTATAGATTCCTTAACCTTTTCATCTGAAGGATTTGAAATCAAAAACTTTTCTTTTAATTTAATCTCTTCTTCCAGTTCCTTACGCTTCTGAGTCTGCTTTTGTCTATAAACACTGTTCATCTTTATCAAAATCCCACGCATAAAAGCTTTACCTGCATCCCATACTATTGATGTTGATGTCCCCTTCATTTCATCTCTAATTTGGGATACAGCATTTCCCATTATATCTTTAATCTCTTGTGCAGATAAACCTGGCAAAGGAGGGGAAGGTGGAGGCAGTACTGATGGTGTAGCTTTAAGTTGTTGTTGTACAGTTAGAGTTGTAGGAGAGGAAACCACCTTAGAAAGCATAGAGGCCGGTTGCCTCTTTGAAGCCATTTTTCAAAGTATTATTCTCTCTCTCTTTCCTCTTAAAAGGAAAAGGGAAAAAGAAAAAAAAGTACAAAAATTCTTAAAGTTTAAAAAAAAAAAGCCAAGAGAAGTGCCCAAAACACAATCAGAAAATAAAGGAGAGAGTTAAAAGCAATAAATGTATTCATTTAAGTCCATATTTTCTTTCCGGGAAAAAAAAAAGTAAAGAACAAAAGAACAAAGTACTTTCGAAACGCCATCTTACTTTCACTCTCCGTGCCGACAAAAAAGAAACAAGGGAAAAGAATCAAAGTCAACTAGAAAAAATTTAAAATAAAATACTATACTAAAAAAGAAATCCTTTAAACTGCTCTGTCCGCTTTAAATATTACTCACCAGAACACTTTAAACGCGGAGAAGGTAGCGGCGTTTCCTTTTGTCTCCAAAGAGACAAAAACAGCTGGGAGGCAGAGAAAGCAGGAACTCCGAGGGAACGCTCCTTTGCCCCCTCAAAAGAAAAATCCAGAGGGGGCTAAGAGGTTCTACCTCTATTCTTGTAATCTCTACCCCTTCCCTTCGCCCGGGAAGGGGATTCCGAATCGCGGGCCAGCTGATGTTCGCTGCGCTCCGCAGATCTAACGCCGTCCCAGGAGGACGGCTACAAAGTAGCCGCCATCAACGCCGCTCCCCAGCGGAAGCTCCGAATTTACAGATAACTTGAAGGTAGAAGTTGGCCCCTTCTCCTTAGAACACCCATTTACTGTTTGTCCTCAATCACCCTTATCTCTCCTGGGTAGGGATTTACTTTGCAAACTTGGAGCGACCATTAAATGTACTGCAGAAGGACTCCACTTAGACATCCCAGTCAAACGGGCACATTTTTCAATGGTATGTTCAACCCGCAAGGAGACCCAGCTGCCCATGGATCTCAGAAGCTTGCTGGCCTTTCTGTGGGGGTGGGACCCTGCCGAGGTAGGGCTACTAAAAGCAGCTACCCCGGTTACGATCCAAGTTAAGCCAGGACTACCACCATGCATTCCCCAGTACAAGATACAACCGGAAGCGATAGAAACGATTCAAAAATTAATAACAGCATATCTAAAGCAGGGGGTACTGCGTAAATGCACCTCTCCTTGCAACACTCCAATCTTTCCTGTTCGAAAACTAAAAGTCGACAGCGAAGGGTACCCCATTTACCACTTTGTACATGATATAAGAGCCGTGAACAACCATGTAATACCCAGAGCACCGGTAGTGTCAAATCCGGCTACTATAATTACAGAAGTGCCAGCGTCAGCCACCCATTTCATAGTAATTGATCTCTGTGCCGCTTTTTTCAGCATCCCTGTGGACCCTGCATCACAATACCTCTTCGCTTTCACATGGGATAAGCAACAATACACCTGGACTCAACTGCAGCAGGGCTATACGGAGTCTCCCACTTTGTTTTCGCAAATTTTAAGGGAGGATCTAGCTTCCTACCATACAAATCCACACTTATCCAATACGTGGATGACCAACTGTTAGCCTCCAAAAGTGAGGAAAGCTGTAGGGCAGATACCTACCACCTATTGAAGTGTTTAGGGGAAAGAGGGCAAGCGTCCCCTTGAGAAGGAAGGTGTCCTATTTAGGGTATATTATTGGCCACGGGGTCAGAAAATTAGCACCCGAGAGAGTTGAGACCATCCTAAGAATGAAGCATCCGCGGATGAAATGTCAGATCCGCGCCCTTTTAGAGGTCTTGGGATTTTGCCGACCATGGATTCCAGCCTTTGAGGAATTGGCAAAGCCTTTGATCCAACTAACAAAAAAGGATCAACCTGATCCTATTAAATGGACGAAGGAACTGGCCATTACCCTAGAGAAAATAAAACAAACCCTAGCCTCAGCCCCAACTCTGGGTCTCCCTAATTATATAAAACCTTTTTCCTTTTCATCCACAAATCCAAAGGTGTAGGTGCAGGGCTGCTGGCGCAGAGGTTTGGTCCAAACCTTAGACTGGTAGCCTATTACTCCAACTAGACCCAGTAGCCAAAGGAATCATTCCATGCCTGAGAGCCGTGGCCACTACGGTAGAGCCAGTTAAGTGATCAAAGGACCTGGTTTTGGGATACCCCCTCACCCTAAGGGTTCCCATGATGTGTTTGCAATACTCTTAAAGTTGCAAACTCAGGCATTTACCCAACAACGCCTGGCCCAATACGCAGAACTATTCACTTCGGAAAATATTTCCTTTGAACGCTGCAACACGCTTAACCCGGCTACACTGTTGCCAATTAACCTGAAAGACAAAATGTTACATGACTGCTTGCACCTAGTCCAAGATGCCGAGCTGCCACGTCTGGATTTAACAGATGATCCCCTCTCAAACCCAGACCTAGAATTGTTTACCGATGGCTCTTCCTACCTTCTGGATGGGACCCGCATAACGGGAGCAGCAGTTGTCTCCCTGCATGAGTCAGTCTGGGCTTCCCCCTTGCCTTCCCACTACGGTGCTCAAGCAGCCAAGCTCATTGCATTGAAAAAGGCATGTGAAATAGCTGAGAACCGGTCTGCCAATATATATACAGACTTCAGATACACTTTTGGGGTCTGCCATGTGACCGGTGCCCTTTGGAAACAGAGAGTTTTTTTCACATCCAGCGGCCAACCAATTGCTCACGCGGACCTCATATCTGATGTGTTAAAAGCTATCCATCTACCCTCATCCCTAGCAGTCATCCATTGCAAACCAAACCAAAGGGATGATTCAAGGGTTACAAAAGGGAACCACTTTGCCAACGTCACAGCTAAGTGGGCTGCCACTCAACCCCTAAAAGCATTTACCACACTCCCCACATTACAATTAAGACCAACAGTACAATACCAAGATTTGCTGAAGCCTGGGGAGGGAAAAGCATGAGAGGAAAAATGCGAGGCAATATATAGAGAAGGATGTTGGTGGGTCCCGGATGGGAGACCCATAGCCCCTAGACATCTGCTATGGCTGATCTGTCAACAGATACACTCTAAGGGGCACTGTGGGACACAAGCAATGGTAGATGCCATAAGGAGGGTATGGTACGCCCCAGGGGTCTATAGTGAGGCCACCCGTATAGCTAAAACCTGTCAGACATGCCAAGCAAACAATGCTTCCTCAAGGAAGGCCACACACACAAGGGGAAGACCATGGGCCCAACGCCCCTTTGAAAAACTCCAGCTGGATTACATTCAGCTCCCTAGGAGCAATGGTTACCAATATGTGCTAGTCTGCAGAGACCAGCTGAACCATTGGGTGGAGGCTTATCCATGCCGCCATGCCACAGCTCTGGATACTGCCAGACACCTGCTAAAGGAACTTGTGCCCAGGTTTAGAGTCCCGAGTGTTTTAGACATGGACAGGGGCACATACTTTGTATCACAGGAAATCACGCATGTTCTCCAAGCATTAGGAATCAGGCAAGACCTGCATGCACCAGGACACTCCAGTTCCTCGGGGGAGGGGGTAGAAAGGCAAAATAGAGAATTAAAGACTCTCCTAGGCAAACTCTGTCAATAGACCCACCTGCCCTGGCCCAAAGCATTACCCATAGTGTTGTTCCATCTAAGAACCCAACCGAGGTGAGACATAGGCATCTCCCCCTTCGAACTGCTGTTTGGTCGACCATCTGACACACTAAAAGGCCTGGACCCCCAGTCCCTCTGCTTGGAGAAAGGGGAGGTAGTCTTATCATCCTATCTTACAGCTCTGCACCAGAGACTCAGAGAACTGTGGAAGCAAAGTGCCCTGACACAGACTTTACCGTTAGAAGAAAACCTACACCGTTTTGAACCAGGGACTGGATTTGGATAAAATCATACAACTGCAAGTCACCACTGCAACCAAAGCAGAGTGGACCCTTTCAAGTTCTACTAACCACCCAGACAGCAATCAAGATAGCTAAAAGGAATGCTTGGATCCACTGGACACACATTAAACTGGCAGTTGTAGACCACAGCATTGTACCTGAGACAACACCCAAGGTTCCACCTCTGAAGCTCAAGAAAAACACAGAAACTGAAGAGTGGACATTAAAAATGTTTTTTGAAATTGAAACAAATGGGGAGGGGATTAAGTTTACCTTTGTTAGAATCTTATATGTTATTTGTATTATGTCTTTATATTTGAAATGTATTTCTGAGTTCATAGAACCAAAACTATTTCCAGAAAAGGGAAACATATGGGAGTATTTAGTGAAGGAAGTACTGAACACTACAGACTTTTGCCTTGCTGGAGGTAGGTCAGTGAAAGACATTTTAACCACATGCTTGATGGGGGTAGCAAAAGCTATCACCAATGACACTAAATTAAGGGAACACTCATTGATAGCCTCATACTACAACATTTTTGACTGGGGAACCAGTACAAACATAAAAGACAACAGCATGTACACATTACAAGTAGCAGCAGTAACCCAAGCAGCTACTTGTTTCACACTGTCTGGATGCCACCAGCCTAAAGTTTCCAGCTGCTACAACTTCACTAACACTGAATTGGCCTGCAACAACACCAAGGCCATCACCTTCTCATACGGCTATGTGAAACTTCCTACGGAATGGTTTCTATTATGTGGCCTGAGAGCTTATTCCTACCTGCCTGCAAACTCCACTGGGGGCCCTTGCATGTTAGGACAACTGACCCTGCTGATGCCCTCCCTACAAAGGCGGCAAAGAAGGAGCTTCCACACATTACCTCCTGACTGTGATTCCAAAACCTCCCTTCTCACAAAACCTGAATATATTGCATTGACTGTGTCAGGGCTCGCAGCATGAAACTCAAGGAATATAAACAGCCTGGGATATACCCTAGCTAAAAGTTTAACCACCACTTCCCATGCCCTGGACGCCTTAAACAGAGAATTAAGGCAAGTCAGAGAAGCCACCCTCGAGAATAGAGCAGCCACTGACTACCTATTGTTGAGGCACAATCATGGCTGTGAAGAATTCTGAGGGCTCTGCTGCTTCAATTTATCCGACCAATCTGGACTAATTGAGCAAGATATCAAACATTTAAAAGAACTAGCACAAAACATTGGGCACAACCAGTCATCCTGGGAACTTTCCTGGCTCTTCTCATGGTTGCCAGACTTCCACTGATTGAGAATTGTCATTGTTAGTATAATCACAGTCGCAATAGGTGGAGCCCTCCTTTGTTGCCTATGCCAATTAATTCCTTTAGGATTAAAATGCCTAAAGATCTGTACAACTCCCGTTAAGGGCAAAGAACAGGACAAAAAGACATCTCTCATGATGTGCCAAATTGATCGTCACTACCAAATATATGAACCAGTTGGGCTAATCATTGATACATCAGTAATAACCCAAAATGGGGGAATTGATGGAAACTGGACACCCCCTCCCCACTCCAATGAAGGAATAAACTGGAAAAAACCCCAAACAAACTGACCTGAGACAACAGCAGCCTAAGGCTAAAATGGCAAACACTTGACATATACAATAAGAAACTAGCTAGCAACAATCAGGATTAACAAATACACAACAATAAAGGTAATTAACACCTTTTAGGCAAGAAATTTAACCAACAATAGTCACTGACCAGCAAATCAGGAAAGGCAGATTCAAATTCACCAAACAGAAATGACAAATTTGGAAACCACAAAAAGGTATAAAAACCCCTGTTTAAAGATCACTCTGCCTAGCTAGCCGGGGACTCGAGCTGATCCTCGAAATTAAACCTCTTCCGGTAGCTGGCTTCATGATCCATTTCTTCCATGCCGCACCGTCGAAGGGAATGGACCGAACCGGGGGGGGGGTTCCTCCCAGCACTCCTATGGACCAGCACTTGATAGCGAAAGAGAATTTGGGAGAAGGGAACCTGTAGTTGATTTGGTAGCTTTAAAAGAGCTACAAGGAAGCAACTGTTGCCACCAGAAAGATTATTGGTTTGCATGCACAGCTTTTTTTTAGGTATTCATTTCCTTACATAGCTAATATACAAAATACTGCCTCCACATGTAAAAAAAGCAACTCTCTAAATCAGAGGAGTTTTAGTTTTTTATAGAGTACATTTAATCTTCAAACAATTCACCCAATAGTGTTAGAGATTTGGGGAAAGAGGAATGACGGCTGGGAAAGTAAGAAAGCAAAATGGACATAAAGAACTAGGAGATAAAAATGAAGTTTGTTAGTAAATGGTAGCACAATCCAAACTGTATAAAGCTTGAGCTTCAAATAGTTCAAAGAATCTCCATCTTAATTAACTTGATAAAAAACACGAGGGCTAGTAATGCTATTATAGTTTCCAAGATTCTGGACTTTCCCACCAATCTTGACATTAAAATAGTTTAAGGAAAAGAGTGTAATTCTTGCTTTCCAGTTTGTGTCATTTTGTGAAATGTTCAAGCATTTATATACACTTTGTATATAAATATAGTGTATCTATTAATCATATTAGAAGGATTGTACACCATGGAGAACTTGGTGAGATTTTCCTTTCACCTCTATTTTCTTTATGCCTGTGAAAAGGTTTTTTTTTTTTTGAATTATTCCCTTTTCTGGTGAAGCAGCTTTTTAAATGGGGGAAGAGAAACACAAAGGATTAAATTTATTTTTGTTTTAATGGTTGATTTTATTTTGGGATATTGGCAGCCCCAAGAAAATTTCTTTTTTAATATTTGGAGAATATTGTTTGCTTTTACCTTTATGGTATCTGGAAGGATTGAACATCTGATTACTTTTTGAGGGACACTCTCTGACAAATTTATTCATTGTACTTGCTATTTTTTCTTCGCTGGAAAGGCTTTCATTTTGTACAAAGGAAAAAGGTGAGGAAATTGGGAGGAGATGGATATTTTGATCATTGTTTAAATATAATCTCCTCTAAAAGGATAAGGATTTGAAAGATAATAAAGATGGAGGAAATCGGCATAGATATTACTTATAAATATATTTTGGACAAAATTTTGGAAAATAAGGAGAAGATAATTGCTTGCTCAAAGGAGATTTCTTTGTATCGACAAAGCAGAGCACAAGGACTAAGTGAAACATCAGCTTATGTTCAAGAGACTTGCTCTCCGCTTACTGAGTTGGAAGAAGTAGACTCACAGTTGGATCACCAATTGATAGCGGAGAAAAGACTTGATGCCAATGGACAAATAATCCACGATAAGGAAATGAAGGATTTTACTTCAAAAGAACAAGCTGCCTTGCAGACACCATTTGACTTTGTGATAGAGAAAAAATCATGGGAAGAGGAGCAAGGTTTGATCAAAGAGGACGATATAAAAGAAAGGATTTTAACTGAAATTTATACAACACTAAAAGAAAGGGGAAATGATGTTCGGCCACGACTTATTCAGATTAGCTATAACTTTTACATTAACTTAACAAAATGCACAATGGGAATTTCTTTTTTGGTGTGTATAGTGTGGCAGGCAGAGGCCCAATTATGAAAACCTATCTGGAATAAAAAGAAGCCCAGAATAAGATATAAATATTAAATTTGATTCTAGTAATGTGGTAAAGGTTTTATAGCGATCCGGATTGATTTGGATTTGGAACTTGTTTAAAGAGCTTTATATGTTTTTAATATTAAAGATGGTACAATGAGAAAAGGATTGAAATATGGAAAAAGATGGAATTAATTATTGGAGATTTGGAGACACAGTGAAAAACAATAGAAGATTGGTAAGAAAGAGAAGAATTTATTTTTGGAGTTAACAATGCTTAAATAAAAAAAAAAAACACTTGGGGCACCTGAATAGTAAATGAATATGTTAGCTTAAGATTAAATATTTGCAAAATTAAGAAAGCATGATACTGGATCTTTGGGATGGATAATGAATTTGTAAATTCTTATTGATTAATGAAATTTATATAGAGTGATATATTCAATGAAAATTTGTTTTAGAAATCTTTTAATGA